GGGACCAAAGCTAAATGCAATTTTGGAAACCCAGCCCATTCTGTGGATAACTGAGAAGTGATTATATTTTGCAAAATGACAAGGAAATTCCCTCCCCACCAGGAGGAATTGCTGGTATTAAATAATAACTGCTCCCGGGTGTATAATGCTTTCCAGGGAGCTAACCATTGGCTTGTGTCCTCCCAACAAGCAGTGACTCGGGTATTATCAGGATGCGAAGAGTGAGGCTCGGAGAAGGGGAATGACTTGCCTGAGCTCCCCGATAGCCAGAGGACAGCTAGAGGTGGAGCTGGGACCCAAGTCCAAGTTCCTGTCTCCTCATCTGTCCTCTCACCACCTCAGCCCCCATCTCATCAGCGGGTGGACTCAGGACCTCCGCTCCCTCCCCACCCAAAGGCACAGATCGGATGCGGCTCCCACACCATCATCTTCTTCATCATGGTCTTCTTCTCTCCGTCACCTTCCGGCACATCCTGGCTCTTCTGGAGGGTGATGACATTCTCGACCTCGGGGGGCAGCAGAGGGCAAAGCCGCAGGGTGAGCGCCACACCGGCTGTCCCTCCCCCGCAGCCGCCGCCCGCCACCTGCAGGCGTGCCCGCTCCTCCCCAGCTGCCACAAGGGGAACTTCTGGGGGGCAGGGTGAGACTTGAGAAGGTGACAGCAGGAGGGTGTGGATAGTCCTTGAAGAACAGCATTTGGGGGAGGACAGATATGAGCAACTGCTAAACTCTCCCCCTGACCAGGCAACTAAGGAAGAAGAGGTAACAGCTGCGAGACAGAAAGGGTCCCAATATCTCAAGCTGAAATCTCACCATGAGTAATACCTCTTTTTATAAAATGTGCTTTTATTTATTTCAAAGAGAGAGTGAGAGAGTGAGAGAAACATCTGTGAGAGAGAAACATTCATCAACTGCCTCCTGCATGCCCCCTACTGGAGCCTGGAACCCGGGTATGTGCCCTGACCAGAGACTCGTTGCATCCAATGCGACCTCCTGATGCATTAATCAGCAGTTCTCAACCTGTGGGTCGCGACCCCTTTGGCGGACGAACGACCCTTTCACAGGGGTCGCCTAAGACCATCCTGCATATCAGATATTTACATTACGATTCATAACAGTAGCAACATTACAGTTATGAAGTAGCAACGAAAATAATTTTATGGTTGGGTCACACCATGAGGAACTGTATTTAAAGGGCCAGAAGGTTGAGAACCACTGCTAGATGATGCTCAACCAACCGAGCCACACAGGGGCAGTAATACCTCTTAAGGGCCTCTGCTATCTACCTTCTTAAGGGCACATCTTAGTCAGATTAAGGTATTCTGCTACCTGAGAGAGGGAATACATTAACCAATGTCCAATTAATCTATTCATTCTCCTTATCTTAAAGCAGCAGAAGAAAGAAAACACAAAATAAAGTAACTTCGTATAATAAAGAAAGCAAAACAAAGTAATCAGACGGGCAGTGTGGTGGGTTAAAGATCCCACACGTTCTTTCCCACTCCTACCAACAGGACAGATGGCCCTTGAATCTGGGTTCATCTCACCACTAGTTTGGACCAATAGAATGCTATGGAGGTGATGCTGTGCATTCCTGGCCTAACCCTTAAAGGAACTGGCAACTCTTCCCCTCTGGAACCCAGCTGCCATGGAATGATGACACCATGTGGAGAGAGACGCTGGAATATGGGGTCATTTGGATGCTCCAACCCCCCTCCCCAGGTGATCTCAGTCTACACCACGCAAGGCAGAAGAACCACCTGCTGAGCCCAGTCAAATTTTAGAATCATGAGACATTGGGCCCTTTCCATCCTTACTTCCCCAGCTGCCAGAGTGAATTTTTAAACCACTAAGTTTTGGCTTGGTTTGTTATACAGAGGTTGGTGACTTCAAGTGTAAAGGTGATGGGAGAGAGATGGCTCGTTCAGACTGAACGGTCAGGGAAGGCCTCTCAGAGGAGATAATATCTGAGCCGAGTCCTGAATGACAAGAAAGAGATAGCCATGTGAAGAACTAGAAGGAGGGTCTACCTGTCTCCCCAAACTAGAATGTCACTTCACTATTGGATCTCTGGTGCCTGAAACAGTGCCTAGCACATAGTAGGAACTCGATTAAATGTGTTGAGTGGTTGCAGTAATAAACCCTTTCTGTGCAGGGACTGTGCTCAGGGCTGTGCATACATTATGTAACACTAGAGGCCCGGTGCACAGATTCGTGCACTGGTGGGGTCCCTTGGCCTGGCCTGTGGGGATCAGGCCGAAAGCAGCTCTCTGACATCCCCTGAGGGGTCCCAGATTGCCAGAGGGTGGTTCTCAGGTGATGCACCCCAGAATCGGGCTCCCTCCTCTCTGTGGCGTCACCCGAGAACCACAGCTGCCAAGTCACTGCAGCTTGGCAGCTCCTGCGTTGAGCGCTGCCCCCTGGTGGCAGCTACCAGTCGGACGGTCAGATGGTCGCTTAGGCTTTTAGATAGATAGATAAAGAGATAGATAGACCTCACTTCGGCTTTATTATGCCTCTCTTGTAGGTAGAAGAACCTTCCTGGCAGAAGTAACAAATGCAAAGGCCCTGAGGTAAGAATGGGTTTGGCATGTGTGGGAAACAGGAAAAGGTAGTGTGGCCAGAGCAAGGTGGACAACTAGAAGGGTACCGTGGGATAAGGATGGATGCTCCCCAAATGCAAGACCTCTTCTTAGTCCTATCACCACCTCCCCACCCCCACCCTCACCCTGCATTGCCTCAGAGACGGGAGCTGGCCTCGAAGCTGCCAGGGGGCAGGCCTCCCTCCTAGGAGTCCTGGCCTGGATGGATGCCCAACCTCCAGACTGTCCATCAACCAGTCTTGCCCACACTCTGTGTGTCATATTCATGTCCACCAGCCTGTCCAGTCTGGCCCACTAGCCCTCACCAAGTGCTGCAGACACTGGCTTTCTCTGGCCACCTGAGGCCTGCTTCAAGGCCAAGACCTGTGTCCGGCCTGTGTCCAGCCTTTCTGTCTCCTTTAGACACCCTCTCACAATTCATTCAGTTGCTTAGAAATCTTACTGAGCACCTATGGTGCGCCAGGCAGTGCCCTGGGTGCTGGGAAAACAGACGTGAATAAGACAGACAGAAATCGCCGATTCACAGGGGAAACGTTATAGTGAGAGAGACGAACAAGAAAGAAGATGAAGAAGTAAAGCACACTGCGTCAGATGGTGATGAGCACCATGGAGAAAAGAGGAGCCGGGGGAGAAACAGGGAGTGTTGGGGCGGGGGGGGGGGGGCATCCCAGGAAGTCCACTGCTGGCTGGGCAGGAAGCATACCAGAGTCATTTTGTTGCCATCCTCTCCATCCTCTCTCTCCCCTGGTGCGTTCACCAGGCATGAGGTCTCTTCACTGAAGGTTCCTGCATGTCACCATTTCAATAGAAGAGAAGAGGGGAGAAAAATACAGTCTACCTGGGGTGCCATAATCCCATCTCTCCTCCCCACTGGGCTTCTCCAACCCTAACTCCCCCAGCAGCCAGACTGACTCCCTTCCCTAAAACCCGTCGGTGGCACCTCATTTCACTGAGCATCCTTGTCAGGGCCCTGCAGGGCAGCCTCCCTCCCTGTTAGGGCCCTGCCCCCTCGCTCTCCCCTCACTCACCATGCTCTGGCCACACTGGCCACAGTCTTTCAGGCCCAGGGGTGGGGGGGTGGGAACCTTTGCGCAAGCATCTTCCTCTGCCTGGGGCAACCCACTGCCACGCCCCCTCGCCCAGGTCTCGCGCCGCCCGCCCTTCGCGTCTAAGCTTGCTTGTCACTTCTCCAAAAGGCTTCCTTTAACCTTCAGGCGAACAGGGGCCCCACTGTGACCCTCTTGTGCATCAGCGTACTCTCTCTTTTCAACCGTCATCACATTTCGTAATTAAACTCTTATCTGTTGTAGTAGATACCTGCTGTTTTGTCAGCCCCAGACTTCTTCCTCCTCCTTTTGGTGACAGAGTTCCTGCCTTCCCTGTGGGTTACCCATTCCATGAAGCTAGGTGAAGCGGAATTCTTCAAGCCCCACCCATCACCCCTCTTCACATAGGGGTGGGTCTGCAACCCAAGCGTGGCCAATAGAGTCCCGTGACCTCAGCCACAGGGGTTTGTCCAAGGATGGGGTCCTGGGTGAGCAGGGCAATGGAGCTCTTTATTTAAGAGAGTGTATCTCCTTCTGATGAGCCTGGAACTTCAGGGCCATCTTGGCTACCAGAGGCTGCTGGAAGATGGAGCCAATAGGGAAACACAGAGATACCCCAATAGCAGTGAAAACAGCTAGCACCAAGGGTACCATTCTCCACTAAAAGGGACAAGGCTCCTTGGAGAAATGGCTGACTCTAGGCATTGGGCAGAGAAAGTATAAGACCAGCCAGAAACCAAGGAAGAGACGTCTTGCTCCAGAAATAAGGAAGGGAGCTCACGGAACAACGGGGATCTGTCACCGGGACACAAAAGCTTGCTGGAAGGGAGTCCACTGGTCAAATTGGGGGAAGTTTGAATATCACAATAAGTCATGGCAGCAACAGATGACATAGTCCATTGAATAAATTAGGAATCCACGACTCTACATTGATGTAAATAAGTAAATGAGCACATTGAAAGTCTGATAGGGATATTTGCACCGTTTCAGAGTAGCTCCCCACATGATATTTCTGACAAAGGGGTAAACAGTGACTTTACAGAGGAGAACCTTGGCAGCCACCGTCTCACTCAAGTGATTGACATGACCATCATCAGTAATGGAACAAGTCAAAAGCACGCACCACCATTGCATAGCAGGCAATGCGAGAAAGCCAGCACCACTCCTGTGCTTTTCCTGCCAGGCGTGCATGGCGGGGGCGTGATCATGAGGAAACAGACAAACCCAAACTAAGGCACAACTTACAAAACAGCTGGCCCGTAATCTGCAACGTCAGGAGATCACCATCGCCCGGCTCCCCTTGACGACCTCGCAGGCCCCGCTGCCGTGGACAGCAAGGGCTTGCCTGACCTGAAGCAGCAAGTGGAAGGGGTTGCCCAGGATGCGACCACAGACCAGTGACCAAATCTAGCCAGGAAACCATCGACAAGACTGCTGACCAAGCCTCTGAGACTTTCTCAGGTTTGTTTGTGTGTTTTTTTGTGGGTTTTTTTGGGGGGAGGGGGGGTGAGGCTTCCTGAAGTGACAAAAGGGATCGATGGGTGACTCCCCTCCAAGCCCTGAGCTCGGGTCAGCTGGTGCCCCCCTGGCTGGATGCCTCATGTTCAAAAAAGAGAAAAGAACAAGAAGTCAAGGAAAGGCTAAGGACTGAGGAAACAGAACAGACGAGACAAAAAGGCACAATGAGTGATTTGGAGCTGATCTCCTTTTCCAGAAAAACATTCCTGAGACGGTCAGTGACATCAGAGTGGGGTCTGGGAATGAAATGGGAGCCGTGTATGAATACTGATTTCATGATTTTGATGGTTACCTTTTGTCCTCTTTTGTAAGAAATAAAAACTAAAATTCAGGGGTGATGGGCCATCATTCGGCAACTTATCCAATCATTCACAACACGTTTTATACGGTGCTTTCAACTTTTCTGCAAGTTTTTATTGTTTTAGATTTTTTAAAAAGAATGAAAGGAAAGAGGCATTTTTCAGAGACAAATGACCAAGTTCATCACCAGCAGAATCACTAAAGGAAAGTCTAAAGGACATACTTCAGGCAAAAGGAAATTAATGGCAGAGGGAAGGTCTGAGATGCAATAAGCAATGAAGGCAAATAAAGAGGCTCATATTGGGGTTAATATAAGAACATTAACTACATAAAATAATATTAGTTAATAAATAGGGTTAAGAAAGAATGAATATGCATCACCAGGATGGCATATAAATTGGAAGGAGGGATGAAACAGGGTTAAAGTGTTCCAATCACAAAGGACCACATCCTATACAGTAAAAGGGTAATATGCAAATTGACCCTAACAGCAGAACAACTGGGAATGTCTGGTCACTATGACACACACAGTGACCACCAGGGGCCAGACGCTCAATGCAGGATCTGCCCCCTGGTGGTCAGTGCGCTCCCACAGGGGGAGCTCTGCTCAGCCACAAGCCAGGCTGATGGCTGCCAGTACAGAGGTGGTGGTGGGAGCTCTCCCGCCTCCTCAGCAGCACTAAGGATGTCCGACTGCAGCTTAGGCCTGCTCCCTGCTGGCAAGCGGACATCCCCCAAGGGCTCCTGGGCTACCAGAGGGATGTCTGATTGCCAGCTTAGGCCCAATCCCCCGGGGAGCAGGCCTAAGCCAGCAGGTGGTCATCCCCCGAGGGGTCCCAGACTGCAAGAGGGCACAGGCCAGACTGAGGGACCCCCCCCCCCGAGTGCACAAATTTTTGTGCACTGGGCCTCTAGTATTTATATAAAATGCCAAGCAGGCAAATCTCTACAGACAGAGAGTAGAATAGTAGGTTCCCAGAGCTGGAGGGCATTGGTTGGTGGTGATACCTAAATTAGGTTTGGGGTTTCTTTGGGGGGTGATGAATATGTTCTAAAATTGATTATGGTGATGATTGCACAATTCTGTGTATATTTTAATAACATTAAATTGTACACTTAAAGTGAGTAAATTTTAAGGTATGTAAATTATATCTCAAGCTGGGGTTTTTTTAAAGTTCAACATGCAAAAACAAAATTTCTCTACATCATTAGCATCATCAGTACAAAATAAGAATTGTATTAGAAAATAAGATATGATTCATAATAGCAATAAAAACAATAAAATACCTAGGAATTAGCCTATTAAAAAGTGCAATAGGCCTTGGCCAGTGTGGTTCAGAGGTTAGAGCGTCGGCCCATGCACTGAAGGGTCTCAGGTTTGATTTCCGGTCAAGGGCACATACCTGGGTTGCAGGCTCCATCCCCACACTGGTAGGAGCGCATGTGGGAGATAACCAATTGATGTGTCTCACATCGATGTTTCTCTCTCTCTCTCTTTCCTTTGTCTCTCTCCCTCTCCCTCCTTTCCACTCTCTCTAAAAAAGCAATGGGAAAAATATCCTCGAGTGAGGATTAACAACACAAAACAAAACAGCAATAGATTTTGATAGAGAGTTTTTATTAATTCTAGTAAAGGATATCCTATATAATAAAAGGCTAAGATGCAAAATGACTGAACTGTGGAATGACCGGTTGCTATGATGTGCACTGACCACCAGGGGGAAGACACTCAATGCAGGAGCTGCCCCCTGATGGTCAGTGCACTCCCACATCAGGAGCGCCACTCAGCCAGAAGCTGGGCTCATAGCTGGCAAGCATAGCAGCAGTGGCGGGAGCCTCTCCCGCCTCCACAGCAGCATTAAAGATGTCTGATTGCCAGCTTAGGCCCGCTCCCCTAAGCCATCAGTCAGACATCCCCCAAGGGCTCCTAGACTGCGAGAGGGCGCAGGCCAGGCTGAGGGACACCCCCTCCCCCAGTGCACAAATTTTGTGCACCGGGCCTCTAGTTATCCTATATAAAGGAAAACTTTGATAGATAAATTAATAGCATTCCAAAAAAAATGATAGAAAAATTTTTTGAGGATCTAGACCTAGACAAAAATATTCTAAAATGTATATGGAAGAATGAGGGCTTACTAACAGACTCCAGGGCATGGTTTGGATGCTGTTGTCCTCAGAATAGTTTTAAGAACTTTTAAGAGGGATTCTTACCCTACCAGATATGAATACATATTTACAAAGCAATGGTAAATTTTTTTCATTGCAATATGGCATTGGTCCATGAACAAACAAAACTATTTGGGGGTATAAATAAATGAAAGGAAATCTTTACAACATCAAAAACTGCCAGGAGATTAATTTACAGAACACTGGCATGTCAGAGTGAGTGCAGGTTCCAGGTAGAACCCCAAGGCTTTGCTCAGGGAGGAACCTCAAAACTCAATAGAGATGAGCTAAGCCTGCCTACTCCACGGGTCAAATGTTGACCTGAACAAAGAAAAGGAAGAAAAAAAAAATGTTGACCCGAACAGCCAGGTCTGAAATTTATCAAGAAAGAAAGACGCATACATTTGGAAAGGAAGATAAAGTTAGTCGACTTGTAATTTGGACATAAAAGTATTATCCTATGGAGATTATTAAAGTTAAGGGAACTGAAGTTGCCAAAACCGGTTTGGCTCAGTGGATAGAGTGTCGGCCTGCGGACTGAAAGGTCCCAGGTTCGATTTCGGTCAAGGGCATGTACCTGGGTTGTGGACACATCCCCCAGTCGGGAGATGTGCAGGAGGCAGCTGATCGATGTTTCTCTCTCATCGATGTTTCTACTCTCTATCCCTCTCCCTTCCTCTCTGTAAGAAATCAATAAAATATATTTTTTAAAAAAAAGGGAACTGAAGTTCAGAGAGATTGAGTAGCTTGTCTCCAAGTCGCCCAACAAGCAGAAGCTGAGCACTGGGGTCTCTTGGGCATAATGAATATGTTGCATGTTATCCACTGAATGCCGTTCCCTTCCTCTCCCTCTCCCCCCTCCCGCCCCACAAGTCTGAATACAGGTCTCCCGGGACAGTGCCCTCTCTCGGGCTGTCGCCCTGGCCATACTCACGCTCAGGGACGCTGTGGAAGGCGGCGGTGCCCTTGTCCGCGGTGTTGCAGGTGGGGAACACCAGCGGGAACCGGCTCATCTCGGAATTGGCCATCTCGCTCCAGCTCTGACTTTCCTCCAGGGGCACGGTGTGGATGGTGTTGTCCTCAGAATCATCCTGCTGGCTGCTCAGGGTCAGGGTGGATGTGTCGCTAAAGATGAGGCTAGAGCTCAGGCTCAGGGTCTCCTTGGAGCCCATTATCAAGGTCATGCACGAGGTTGGAGAAGGGACCGAGTTGGGTCTACGGGTGCTGGAGCGCAGGCTGATATCATCCTGGAAGCCAGGAATCACGGTCAAGCAGGAGGCCTGAGTGACGGTCACGTTCACATCAGACCTGGAATTGCTATTTAAAGCCACATTGATGTTTCCCTTGGAACTCGTCTTCCAGGCTGCACCAAAGGATCCTTTTGAAACAGACCCAGAGATGTCCTGGGAAACCAACTTGATGGTCTCGTTGGTGCTTGGGCTTAGGGTCCCACAGGGACCTGGAGCCCCTTTCAGGTCCAGCTTGGAGATGGTTCTTGAGCCCACACTGAGCAGGTGATTGGAGGGGGAATCCATCGAGCCTGAGGCTGGGATAAGGAGCGCTTTGGAGCATGGCCTGGAGAGGCAGGGGCCCAGAACGAGGGCTTCTCTTGAAAAGGTCCTTAAAAATGGGTTGGATTCAGACCTGGAAGGGTTGGAGTTGTTCTGACCCAACTCAAAAGCCTTGCTTGAGTGGGGATTGAAGGCCTCCTCAGAATTCAGCCCAGAGGGGTTGTCCGAGCTCGGACCCTGGGCCTCGGCAGAGTCAGGGCTCGGAACGAGCGGTGAGGCTGGATGTAGGGCCTCCTGTGAGTTAGGCCTCGAGATGTGATTCAGCTCCAGGCCCAGGGCCTCGCCGGAGGGGGGAGGGGTGGTCTGGAGGGCGGCTGGAGCCACGGCCCCGCTCTCATCAGGACTGGGGGTGCTATCAGACACGAGGCCAGGGGCCTCCTCGGAGACAGGACTCAGAATTGGATGAAGGTCTGGGACAAGAGCCAAGCCAGGACTCGGGGGGACATTCAGGGCAGGAACAAGGTCTGTGCCTGGGTTTGGCCCAGAGATGGTGCCCGAGCCTAAACCTGGGGCCCCAGTGGAGCTGAAACTGGGTGTCTTCTTTGGGTCTTCACAGAGGACCAGACTAGCCCTCTGACTCAGAGCCATGCCCGTCTAGAGGTCTGTCGCTGCCACTGCCCCCTTCTCTCCGACAGCTGACTGTTGAGCTCCCCGCAGTGTTCCTGAGAGAGAGAAGGCAAATTCAGCCAAGCCTCACCTGTTACAATCTTTCCAAGGACCCCTGCTCTCTTTAAAATGAGGCCCCTGTGTCACTTCCAAGGTTCTCCATGACCACGCCCAGCCCACCTTTCCAGCCCCAACCTCCATGACAAAATATTCAGTGCACTTTATTCCAATGACTCAATTAGTGGTCTCACCCCTGCCAGACCTGAACTCCACAGGGGCACGCACCATGCATATCTTAGTCCCTGGGGCATCCCCAGCACCTAGCACTGTGCCAAGTGCACGGTAGGAAGTCCACAAATACAGACAGATGAGGAACCTCTCCCGCCTGAGGGAGAAAAAGGGGAGGAGGAGCGCCTTATTGGTCACACTGCTCCCAGCCAACCCCCAACTTGCTAAAACTACTCTGCAAATGGCTATGGCCCAAGGTTCCCACAGCAGCCTTGGCAGAGCTGCCTGCTCCCCCTAAAAGTTTGCCTGTTCCGAGTGGGGCAGGCTACATAGAAGAGACCCTGAGATCATCGTCAAAAGCACAGCCTTGCCTCATCCTAGCAGTCTGACTGCAGGGCCAACTCCCTAATTCCCCCCCACCCCACTCCACCCCCTCCCCTAGACACAGCTCACCTGCATGCATGGTGTTCTTAGGCAGGAGTGGGCCCCTGGGAGGAGACACAGAAGGAGATCAAGTCAGGTGAAGAGTGGCTTTTTCTTTTTTTCTTTCTTTTTTTTAAAATATATTTTATTGATTTTTTACAGAGAGGAAGGGAGAGAGTTAGAAACATCGATGAGAGAGAAACATCGATCAGCTGCCTTCTGCACACCTCCCACTGGGGATGTGCCCGCAACCCAGGTACATGCCCTTGACCGGAATCGAACCTGGGACCTTTCAGTCCGCAGGCCGACGCTCTATCCACTGAGCCAAACCGGTTTTGGCAAGAGTGGCTTTTTCAATACTTACTGAGCAAAGCCTACAAGGCAGGCACACACACACACACACACACACACACACACACAGAGTCCCAGAAGTTAGACATTGTTGCTGCACTATACACTTGAAGTGGCGGCCAAGGGGAGGAAGGTCACCCACCCCAATGACCCTCAGGGCAGCCAAGACCATCTGTTTATGCCGCCCGTCTGCCTACCCCCATCGCTTCCCGTGGTCTTCAGGACAGCACCCTCAATCCTTAGCAAAAGGCCATTCTGTGTCTGCCCCAACTCCCTGTTCACCCTTCTTGCCCATCCACACTCCCTTCCACACTCAGCTCCTTTAGTTTTTCCAAGGAGTCCAGCTCCTGGGTTAAGTCTGGGCCTTCTGGCATTGGGCACCCCTTTCTCCAGCCTCCTTCCCTGGATAGCACCCACAGCTTCACCACCTCAGGTTTCAGCTCAAATGTTAAAAGCCTTCCAGGTCCCCCAGACACGTGAGGTCCACTTGTGAGTCCCCAAGGCCTCAGGTCCACTCCCCCTCTCGGCACACAGCATCTGGTTCTCCCACTGGACAATACGATCCCTCAGAGTCTGGCACACAGTAAATGTTCAACAAATAAGCTTGTTGTTCCATCCTTTTATCTCTTCTTCATTCGCCCAGCCATTCTTCCACTAGCTGATTTGATCACTTATTCATTCATTATTAATTCATGCACTCACTCACTAAATCATTTGTTCCACAAACTTTGCTGTGCATCTTTATAACTTGACTTTGGAAAGACCGTAGATTTGGAGTCATGCTGTCCCGGGTTCAAATCCCACCTCATCCTCTTACTAATATTTGTGAACTTGGGTAATAAGGGACTTTCCCCCTCTGACCCCCTCTTCCCTGTCTCTAAGATGGGAGCATAAAGCCTGCTGCCTGAGGTCGTTCACACAGCCACCGAAGGCCTTCTATAAATGGTTACTATGTGTTCTATGCCTCCCGCCAGGCACTGGGCAGAGAGGAGGAAGGCCGGTTGTGCGGTGGGGAAAGTGAGGCGGAGCACAGGGGGAGCTGCCTTCATTCCCAGCAAGCAGTTCGTGCACAGCCTTGCGTCCTGCCTCAGGAGCAGGAAAGGCTCACTCACCATCGGCACCAGAAGCACTTTTACCCTGAAGCTAATTCAGTTTAAAATGCCAGGGCTTCTTGCTTGCGGCCCCTTTACAAAAGGACTGCCCTTAATTTTGCATTCACAATGTTGTCTTCTTTAACTTAAAGGGGAGCCTCAACATTATAAAAAAAAACTTTAGGCTCCACAAAGCCCTGGGTCTTCCCTTGATCTCCCCTTCCACCTGTGTACACACACACACACACACACACACACACACACACACACCATGGTTATCAAAGAGAGGATTTTCAACCTAGAAAACATAGGAGCCAGAGCCAGCCCGGAGAGTGAATAAGGTGTGGAAAGCCTAGCTGGTGTGGGCTGTGGGAGAGAGTGACCTGTACCCTCTGACACAGCAGATGCACAAGACCAGGTCACTGGGCGGAAACCACAGGTCTCAGCCCTGGCTGCCTCTCCCTCTTCCATGAGAAAAGAGCAGATCTCTCCCCACACACACACTTTCTCCTATTCCTTCAACCCCCTCCATCCTGCAGGGACCTCAGAGCAGCCTGACCATTACTGAGGCAGCCCACATTTGCCCTCCATTAAAGGGCCATGTGTGCCCGGTCAGGTGTGGCTCAGTTGGTTGGAATGTCGTCCTGTGTACCAGAAGGTGGCAGGTTCAGGGAGGCAACCATAATCTCTCTCTCTCTCTCAATCAATCAATTAAATCTAAATCAATTAAATCAATCTAAATCAATTAAAAAGGCCCAACCAGTGTGGTTCAGTTGGTTGAGCATGGTCCCCTGCACCAAAAGGTTACTAGTTCGATTCCTGGTCAGGGCACATGCCAGGGTTTCCAGTTCAATCCCCAGTAGGGGGCGTGTGGGAGGAAGCCGATTGATGATGTTTCTCTCTCATCGATGTTTCGATCTCTCTCATCCTCTCCCTTTCTCTCTCTAAAAACAAAATTAAAAAATTTTTTAAGATTTTTTTTAAAGGCCATTGTGCACTCATTAAAAAGAGTGATGGTTCTTGAGGGACTTGAGTGGGTCCCAGGGGAGCGAAAGGAACTCACTACTGTCTTGACAGCCACATGCTACGTTTTGGCCTTTGCTCCAAAGCCAGGGCCGCAAACGGGGAGGGCAGAGGATGGCCATAAAACAGCCAGTCCTGCCCATGATTGGAGAATCATTGGCTGATTCCTATCCTGTCTTCCCCACCTCAGGGAGCCCTCTAGTCCAGCCCTTGCTGGTCCCTAGGAGGAGGCGCTCTCAGTGGGTCTTCCAGTTCCTCGCTGAGAACACGATTATGAGGGGGATGGGCCCAGAATGCTGGCACTCGTGTGAGTATGTGTACACACACGCATGCCAGTGCACACGTACATCTGGCATGAGGACACCTCAGATCTAGACAATCCAAACCAGAACGTGCCATCTTTTCCCCAAATTGGATCCTTCTATTCTCTTCCACTGAAAGAAACTGGCACTACTATCCAAGCCAGAAACAGTATCATCCTTGACAGCTCTCTCCCTCACTTGCTGCATTTGATTTAGCCGAGTTCTGCTCATTCTGGCTCCAGAAAAGTTCCTAAATATCTTCCCTTGTAAAAAAACAGATGGATAGATAGATGATAGACAGATGATAGATGATAGATAGATAGATAGATAGATAGATAGATAGATAGATAGATAGGTAGATAGATAGATCTAATCTTCCCATGTCTCTCTCACTACTGCCAGACCCCAGTGAAGCCCCCATTGCCTCGGAGCTGGTTTTGGAATTGCCCTCTCCTCTCTCGACAATGGTCCCAAATTGAGCCACAAAGATCTTCCTTTAAAATTTCTTTCAACACAAATCGGTAGTTACAAAATAGTCCCGGGATGTAAAGTAAAGCATAAGGAATATGGTTAATAATATTGCGATAACTCTGTATGGTGCTTCCAGGTCATCTGCCTTCTCTTTCCCCTGGTCGATGATACTCCCTTCCTGGTCTTCTCACTCTCTTCTCCTTCCCCTGCCCCCAATTCCCACCCACCACTCTCTGAGAACTTGAAAGTCTAAACTTTCTCCATGAGCCTTGAGCTGCTGATGGGAAGTTGAATGTGTTACCTCCACCGGGGGCATCCACATGGTAACAGAAAATTGAGCTGTAAGCCAAAGGTATGAAGTTCTAACTGTGGAATTACAGCCAGAGGGGAGAGAGGTCTACCCAGGGGGTGGGGTCGAGGTGGTAACCTGTGGACTTGAAGGCCCCCACCCCGGGGACTCTCCCAGAGCCACCTCTCAGCTTACCTAGGCTCCCCGAGCCCAGGCCGGTGTCACCGTCTTTGTGAGGTCACCAGGACTCAGGAGTTCCCAGCCAATGGGGCCCTGGCACTGAAGGGAGAAGCAGCCAGGTGTTCTGAGACAGGCTGGTGAGCCAGGCGAGTGGAACAGGGAAACACATAGTTAAAGGGCCGAGCGTTTACAGCCATCTAGTAAATCACAAAATCCTATCTTTCCTAACCAAGGACACTTAAGAGTAAATGGTTTACACATCTCCTCCCAACCAGAGGATAAATAGCTTAAATTACTCAGGGAGATAGATAGCAGATATCCAATTAGTGCCATTTGTGCCAGCCACACCCAAGGACAATGAAGTTAAGGGAATAAATCTCATTTTGCCCCATCAGCATAAAGCTGATGAATATTCTATTGAGGTCAGCCCCTAAGATCTCCTTTAATATATATGTACTAGTGGCCTGGTGCACGGATTCGTGCACATTGAAAGACAATTAATTAGAAGGTGGCCTGTCTGCCTCGCCCAGACCCGCCCCACAGCCAACCTCTGGCCACACCTAGGGTGGCACCATCGCTTGAAGGGCTTCTGCGGAGTAAGCAGGGTCCCTCTGGCAGGTGGGA